TACACAAGATACTACAAGAGAGCCCAAGCACCCATGTGAAAGCAAAGTTCTTCCCTTTATGCTGTTGTTCCGAGCCAGTACACACTCTAGCAACAATAGCAAAGGCAGAATGCTTCCTCCCAAGTGTTTTAACACTCCATTGTATATCAAAGGGACTTCAAAACATGCACACAAGTGCACACACACATGCGCACATGCATGCGCATGCACACGCACATACACACGCACGCACACACACACAGAGGATTTATATAAGGTTCTCATTCAGTGATACTTAGGCAGCTACTCTTTGCATAAGAACACAAGCCTTGTCAGAGCAACCCCTCACCCTTGGCCTTGCTACAGTCCTGTTAGTATTTCAAAGGGAAATGTTGTTAGTGTGCTGAGAACACAGTATGTAGAACCAGGGTTTATGCTGGAGAAGAGAGCAAAGGAGCTGAGTAGCTAATTCAGGTGACCTGTGCATGGAAAAGTAACCTGGTCACGGAGCTCTGTCTTTCTATCAAGCGTCGAAAGGGAAGCCTGAGGCTATGAGACTGGATGTACTCCTATAGCCCAAAGCAGTGACTATTGAGGTAAAGAAGTACTTGCATGCAAAGGCCTGCTCAGAAAAGTAATCCTTCTCATTAGCAGGATGGTGGGGTATGGAACATGAAATCAGCAAACTTTGTAGAGGTGCCTGTAAGAAACAATATCAGGGAAATGACAAGGAGAAAGGACCCAAAATCAATGATTCTGTTTTCCTTTTAATATAGTCCCTTATTAAAGTCTACACTCTACTTTTCCTTCTCTCACAATGATATTTCATTGTGCAGAGGAGCTACCTGTTCGACCAGAGCTTCAAAGGGAACAGGTTCTCTTAGTCCTCATCACATTTCCAAATTTTCCATTATTCCTTAAGACGAATTCTCAGGACAATGAACCAGGACCACACCTGTATCAAAACCATGTTACCACTGTTACCACTTACATTTTCTTAATTACTTAAGAAAACACTGATTTTCTATAGCTGTAGCAGACCCCTATTTATTTTGCTATGTTTTGCAAAGAAACAAACAAAAAGAGCAGTCTAGAAACCAGAGCAGTCTAGATTCTTGCATGGTGATGTTCAGACACTGTGCGAGGAGAGGGGAGAGAAAGAATGGAAACATGAAGTTTCTGAGATGAATGGGTTCAATAATTCCAACTCGACAAATAAAAAATTAAACATGAAAAATTACAGACTCCAAACTAAGGGACACATTGGCAGATAACCCCCACTGAATTAATTTGGTATTACCTCTGAGTAACCATATACAGTAGTGCCTCGCTTAACGAGCGCATCGTTTAACGACAAATCCGCATAGCGATCTAATTTTTTTTAGATCACTAATGCGATCGCATTGCGATGTTCTGAATAGGCAAAACATCGCATTGCGATGATTGGTAAGCGTTTCGCTTACCGATCTTCGCATTGCGATGTTTTTTTAAACAGCTGATCAGCGGTTCCAAAATGGCCGCCGGGTGCCCCAAATGGCCGCCGGAAGTGTTTTCGCGCCCTGCCCTCGCTTACCAAGGGCACAAAAATGGCGGTGCTATGGAGGAACTTCGCTGAATGGTGAGTTTGGGAGCCATAGGAACGCATTAAACGAAGTTTAATGCATTCCTATGGCTTTTTCCGTTCCATTTAGCAATGTTTCTGCATAGTGTCAATTAATCCGGAACGGATTAACATCGCTATGCAGGGCACCACTGTACAGGATGATAACAAGAACAGAGGAAGACAAATAGCACTGGCCTTCTGGTAACTTCCTATTGGCTGGCAGTTCTTCCCAGATTATCAGTGATTGGTGGGAATTTTCAAATTCAGAGTCCCTGAACAGACAGATCTGAGTGGAGAATGCTTCACTCTGGTCTGCCTGCCAAACATCAAGAGCAGGTAGTGGTTTGAGCCAGTCTTTGGCTCACCAGTCTTCCTTCCCCCAATTCCTTTTCTTTGTTTCTTCTTTTGCTACGAATACGAATACCCCCAACACAGGTGGACATAATAAGGGTCCACTGGGGAACCCTGGGGCTGGACTGTCCACTCACACTTCTACTGCTGCTGTGGGCTCCACACTTTCTTCGTATCGCTCCAGAGCTTGTGGTCAACTAGCCACTCCTGGCAGGAGAAGGGACATTGAGCCTCCCTTGCCAGGTCGAAGAGTGGCTCGCTGACCGGGCACTCCAGAGTGATTGGAAGGGAGCGTGGAGCTGGCAGGAGAAGGGACAATGAGCCTCCCTTGCCAGGTCGATGAGCGGCTCGCAGACCGGGCACTCTAGAGTGACTGGAAGGGAGTGTGGAGCCCGCAGCAGCAGCAGAAGAGTGAGTGGACAGTCAGACCCCATTATGTCCACCTGTGCAGGAGTATTCTTATTTGTATACAAATACAAAGTACCCCCCTCTCTAGTTATTATGCTTTTAAGGGACAATGAGCCTCCCTTGCCAGGTCGATGAGCGGCTCGCAGACCGGGCACTCTAGAGTGACTGGAAGGGAGTGTGGAGCCCGCAGCAGCAGCAGAAGAGTGAGTGGACAGTCAGACCCCATTATGTCCACCTGTGCAGGAGTATTCTTATTTGTATACAAATACAAAGTACCCCCCTCTCTAGTTATTATGCTTTTGTCTCATATGTCACAACTATGTTGGTGGATTAGGGGTATTAAAGTGGATCCAACCACTATGAGAGTAGCAGGCAGGAGCTTAGGAATCCTCTTGAAGTTGGTGGCAGGACCCAGGTCTGGCTAGGCTCAGGAGGCCATAGGCCTGGCCCTGCCCTCAGTTGGCAAGGAGACCCAGAATGGTCACCTGCATGGTCTTTGAAGGACTCCTCCTCTTGGTTGGATCTTTTGTGGCTGCTGGAGAGGATGATGGTGGGCATTGGAGAACACACAGGTTTAGTGATGTACTTGATCCATTTGCAATGCTTGGTTAGGTACTGTTGCTGTGACTAATAAAATTATAGTCTTTTTTATCTCCAAGAAATGTGGGTAATGTCTAGTTCGGGTGACTCGGGGCCTGCTGAGCTTTAAGCCAACAAACTTTCTCGCTCTTTAATGAAGCAGAAAGCAAACAAAATCACATATAGCTGTGTGATAGATCATAGTGCTGCCTCTACATGTATTGTAATTTCAAGATCATATAGGAAACTGCAGATATCAATGTATACAAAAATGTAATTCTCTAAAATTTTCTCCATGGAATTCCACAGCAACCATTATAAAACCAATTAAAGATAACAAACAAATGAGACACAATTTTCAGAGGAAGCATGGACAACTTTTCTGACGGCAAAAATAAATAAGCATTGATCAATTGTTTGATTTATTCGGTCTCCACTTTCTTCCCTCAACCTTCCAATAATTATAATTTTAAAAGATGCACTGAGAAACAAAGGAACCTCAAGGGCAGACTTATCACACTGACCCAAAAGAGATTATGATGATCCACTTCTATGCTCTGCAGCATATCGGGCAACAAGATTTATCCAGCTTGTTCAGTCTTGTGTGAGTGTTTTGGCTTCCTCTCATGTAATATACAGTGCCTTCAAGTCTTGTGGCAGTGTTCTTCACCATGCTATTTGCGGGCATCCTTGTCATTTGCACAAGGATGCAAATGGCAAGGGGTCCAACTCATTGCTATATTGGGAATCCAGTTGTTCTCCATATGGAAAATATGGCCAGTCAGTTGGCGTCTTCTCGTACATGCAAGTTTACACAAGCTGCTCCTTTGGAGCTCCTCATTGTTGGTAATGTGACTGAATTATTGGACCTTTAAGATTCAGCAGAGACACCTCTGTTGGAAGATGTTGAGCCTCTTGTTGATTCTAGCTGACGCCTTCCAAGTCTCACTGGCATAAACAGCAGTCGGGAATCATGACAGAGGCAAACGGAGCTTAATCTTCAGTGATATAGATGGTGAGGACCAGAACTTGTTCATCTTCCAGAAGACAGCTATCGCCTTCCCAATGTGGCACTTAACATCCACTTCTGCATCTTCATTCCAGGTGATCATATTACCTAGATAAGTGAACATCTCCACTTCCTCTAGCTGCTGCTGTCCAAATACAATTCCTTGTGTTGCAACCGTGGAGTTCACCTGCATGATTTTCGATTTCTCAGCACGTATCCTAAGGCCATCTTTATTTGCCTCTTTATCCAAGACAGCTGTGGCATGCTGCAGTTTCAGTTCATCTTTCTTAAGTAAGGAGATATTATCAACTAAATCCAGATAGCCAACATAACTTTGGTCAGTCCAGTGGTTGCCTTTCCCAGTGTGTAATACAGTTCACCGCGAGACGCAGCCAAAGGCCACAAGGAAAAGGACTGGGGACAAAGTATAGCCTTATCTGACCCTGTGGTAATCTCAGAGGTGTCCATATAGCCATTCTTGATCTTAATGCAACAGTTCAATCGTTGATAACAAGTTCATAGGAAATTATTTTTATTTAAAGCAAGAAGTTATGGTTGAAGCTAAACCCCCAAAGGCAACAACATTCAGACCACACATCAACAGCCCCTCAAAACATTGGCATACAAATGTTATCTTCCTTTATCTAAGTTCCCCAACTCAACATTGGAAGCCTCTTAAAGAAAAAAGAGAAAATATGCATTTACTGAGGAGTGGGCTGATTAGACACAGTATTGTAGGACTGATATCATCCAAATACAGATCCATTGGACTAGTCTATGTAAATGTACATCAGGCTGACTGCTAATCTCTTACTGAGAGATGATGATACTAACAAAGTCTATGTTTTCATTTACTAGTGATACACTTTGTAACCTGCATGGCTGCTGGTAACATTCTGTTGTAGTGTTTACTTGGAATGACATTATGGTACTAGAAGGAGGCCTCATCAAGCATAATTATATGGTAGCTTCATAATCCCCTAAACAACAACAGCAAAAGCTTCATAATACATCAGTGCTTTTTTTCTGTGAACCATCTTTCTAATAAAAAAAAGCCATGAATTCACTTACCACAAGATGCTATTTCATCTGACTCATCACCACAATCATCTTCCTGATCACATACCCATGAACTTGGAATACAACGTCCATTCCCACATGAAAACTGGTCAGCTTGACACGTCCTTGCTTAAAAGACAAATTGAAATACAAATGATAGATGAAGATGTTTAATATTAATAAAGAATAAGAACAAAATTGTCCTGTCAAGCTGATTTTGACTTAGATTGACCCTTTCTAGGTTTTTCCTAAATAGAGAATACTCAAAAGTGGTTTACCATTTCCTTCTTCTGGGTGTGTTCTGGGACTATGTAATGTATCCAAGAGCATACAAGCTGGTTTTCTCCTACTAGGCACAGTGGAGATTCAAACTCCTGACCACTAGCTCTGCAGCCAGGTGCTCCATCTCACTGAGCTTTCGAACCAGCTATTAGGTTCATTATATTGATACTCTACACAACATATTATTCCTTCTGATGTTACATTCTAACTTTTTCCCCGAAAAGCACAAATCTTACCATCATTCATTAAGTTTCCAGAACAGCTATTCAATTCATTATTGATTATAGCAAAATACCAAAATCTCTGTCAAACCTAGTATTTTTTTAAAAATCTATTTTAAATCCAGTTTTATAACATCGTTTGGTTATAGCTATTTAAAAATAGACCTATTGGGAATCAAGTATATTCCTGTTGTTATATATCAAACTCAAGAGGAGAGGGGGGGAAAGCAGGCAAAAACAATAGCAGAAGAATAGCTGTGTGGGTCCTATTTTTATGGAAAGATGAGCATGTTGATTGATTGATTGATTGATTGATTGATTGATTGATTGATTGATTGATTGATTACATTTTTATACTTCCCCAAGTAGTAGAAATCCACTGCTCTGGGCAGTCATAAAACAGAAATAGAATCTCAACAAACCAGCACTGCCTAAAACAAATTAAAAAAGGAAACAAACATAACAAACTGAAACTGATAAGGAAATAACTAAATAATGTTGACTATCTTCTGTGATAAAACTAATCCATGTGTCAAAACTACTACCTACCATATTTTTCCCTCCATAAGACACACGTCCCTCTGAAAAAAGTGGGTGGGAAAGTGTGTGCGTCTTATGGCGTGAATACTGTAAAATAGGGGTCCCGTGGGTACACAGCTGCAGCCATTACAAAAAAGGGGGAGAGTGTGCTTGCCTTGGCTTGAAAATCCATTGCTGCTCATGGTGGTGTCTCAGAGCCATGGAGGCTCAAAGCCATGGAAGCTTCTGTCAGAGGGGGTGAGAGGGGCTTGGGCAGAGGGAGGAGGGAGGCCAGCTCAATGACCCCAGCAGCAACCATTACAAAAAGGGGAGGAGTGTTCTTGCCTGGGCTTGAAAATCCCTTGCTGCTGCTGCCTCAGAGGTGAGGCAGCCTAAAAACTGTGGGAAGCTTCTGTCGGAGGGGGCAGGAGGGGCTTGGGCAGAGGGAGGAGGGAAGCCAGCTCAATGGCCCCAGCAGCAACCATTACAAAAAAGAGCTCAGCTGGGAGGCCATTTGAATTTCCTGGGCTCCTGCCTTCTGCCATGGGGCCTGTCCACGCTGCTCAGGGCAGTCATGGAGCCCTTCCTGCAAAACCAGCAGAGAGAAACACATTCCAGGACCTGAGAAGCCAAAAAAGGAAAAAGAATAAGCTGTACATGTTTCCTTTAGGCTTCTTTTGGGAAAGCCAGAGAGTCAATGTGGGCAGCTAAGGGTAAATATCACTGAGTTGGAATTCCTAGAGTGGAGGGGAAAGAAACCAGGAGAGGGGGTACACCCAAAAGAGTCCTTTCCTGTTCCACTTTTTTCATCATCCGGAGGGAAACGCAGATTCGACACCTCCAAAGGCTGTGTCCCTTTTCCAAGATTTAGGGATTTGGTTCAGAATAGTTTTTTTTCCCTGTTTTCCTCCTCTAAAAATTAGCTGTGTCTTATAGTCAGGTGCGTCTTATCAAGCAAAAAATATGGTAAGCATAAATATATAATGGCTAAAATCTTATTGGTTAATTACGTTGCATAAATGCAATGCAGTGGTGAATTGCTTCTACTCAACAAGTTGCCACCTGCATCCCTCCTTAGGGACCATGTGACTGGTGTTTGACAAAGACGTATGCATAGAAATGAGTTAACTAGAGGCAATTTTATGGTACAATTTACAGCAGTGCACTTACCCTGGCATGACTAACCAACAGCATCCTGGTGAACGAAGACTATATTTTGTCTTGTCACATCTTAATATGGTAACAATATTTATTGTACCACAGTGTGCACCATGAATACAGTTTGTAGATGGAATACCTTCCCAGGAATTAGTTCATTTCTACTTCCACAATACTATTTCTTCAGAGACAAGTACTTGGACAATCAGAATTCCAAATTAAGCTTGTGTTTACCTTCATATTACCAATCACAAACACAACTTGCTGAAATGCCACATACATAGTCAATGGAATAGCACATGTTGCAATACAGAGGTCTCTTACCATTTAAAGAAGCCCTCCTTCTAATGTCATGCTAGCAATACTGTCCAGTTTACCCCTACAACTACACAGATCCATGTTCAAATATTCCTGAGGTTCACTTTTTTGCTAGTCACTATCTCTCAGATTAATCTACTCCATCAGCTGTAATGAAGACAAAATGGGGGAGCAGGAGAAGTGTATCTGCCTTTAGCAGGTCACCAGAAGAATGGGACAAAATGTAGTAAATATTGCATACCACAGAGATGATTATTTCCCAATCTTTTCTGTCTTATATTCTGTAACCATTCTGAGTATTCATATGAAAATAAACTTATGTGAAACTGATATGATAAAAATCATGACATTTCAGTAAAAAAGACTGAATAAATCACCAGGCTTTCCTGAGTTTTTAAAGGGTTCATAGAAATAATGTGTTAAAATGATATGTACTGAAATAATTGTGACTGCATACATTTTTATACTTTTCAATTATGAATAAAGTATTTATTGTGTAATCCAAAATAAAACCCAGTTCTAGATGATGTCTATCAAGATGTCCTAATAAATTTCAAGTCATTAAAAAAAAGTAAAACATATTCTTACTGTCTAAGCAGAAAAGCACACTAACAGGTCAAGCCAGTACATACAGACTGAGAGCCAAATTACTTTGGAAATGTTCTGGCAAGTACCAATATTATATAAAACACATTTCTGTATTTTAAAAGCACCAGTAGCACAATCTCACTCAAATTTACAATAATCATACCATCAGTAACAGAAAAAAAATCTGTGTGATTTACAGTTTAGATATGAATATTTATCCCATGTTATACCATGAGGATTGTTGGCATAGATTCTATCACTGGCTCAGAAATAGAATGCAAATTAATATTTGATAATTGAAAGCCTATGATCAATTTAGAAATAGTATATCATAACTAAATTGTACCAGGAACATATGTACCTATGAAATGGAGCAGATGATAATGAGTATTTTAAAATGTTTGTGTTGATTTGCACCCCATTTATTCCATGCCCCCTTTTCTCACATCCTTACACCCAACCCTTAAAGCAAAATTTTTTAAAAAAGGAAAAGGAAAAAAAATGAATATTTAATCCATGTAGGTTTAAAACAAAATTTTCACCTTTTTAAAAAAAAACACAAATATTTTTTTTACCTGCACAAGTCTCATTTGATTCATCTTCATTGTTGCCACAATCGTTTGTTCCATCACAAAGCCACCTTTTTGGGATGCAACGGTTATTATGGCACTTAAATTGATTGTCTGGACAGGTGTGATTGACTGAGGAACAGAAAATAGATACATTATAATTAAATACATATTTTTTCTTATATATTAATTAATACATGGCTCTACATTTGGGGCTTGAAATTCATGTGCACCAAATCTAGTTCCTAGATTAGAACAGATACTGCATGTTGAATTGTGTGACTTCTGTTATATTTTGTGAATGAAGGGGAGGCAATGTCTCTTTGGCACTGAAAAGGCCTCTAGATTCTTATTAGTTGCACCATTTTTGCTCAGAAATGTTAATATCCAAACACATCATGGGATTCTTTAGACAGTTTTGGTGTACTATTTTGGGTTTTTTTAAAAACTCTCTGTCAAGTTAATGAGCATAAAGCAATGCTTATGATACCCATTCAATACATTATTTCACATTAAACACATATTTTATCATGCCATAACTTGTCTTCACAGCAAATAATTATCTGTGCATACATATAAAATTAATGTAGTTGGGGTTATGCACACTAACCAATAAAACACTTTATGAGGGATGTTACAACTAGAGATGGAGACAAATATAAAAATGGATGGCTTTTTCCGACGAATATGGCCAATTTGTTAAATATTCGTCGATCCCTATTTGTGGGTTCCAGAGACCCCCACAAATACAAAGGGATGAATATTTACCCATTTTTATTCATTCTTCATATTTTTTTAAAAAAACCAAAATAACCCACCATTTTGCCTACCGGCCGCCGATCAACTGATTGGCGGCAGAAAGACAGCCACCACTCCACACAGCCACCCAATACTACAGCCGACCCCACGCCCTTCCTTTCCTTACCTTAGGCCCCACACTCTCTTACCTTAATCGCTGCTGCCAAGGTATTCTGGCCTCGGAGCCACACATGTAAAAATGGAGACTGGCTGCCTTTGCAAAGATGGCAGCTGCATCTTCGTTTAGGGTGCAGAAGCTGCAGCTGCCATCTTTGCAAAGGGCAGACAGTCTCCCTTTTTACAGGCCGTGGCTGTGAAGGCCTGATGGAGACCTCGGAAGCAGCTATTAAGGTATGGGGGTGTCGGTGGGATGGGGGCTAAGGTAGGAAAAGGAAGGGGGTGTGGGGGTAGGCTGTTGTTGGCTGGCTGTGTGTGGGGGTGGCTGCCTACTGGCTTCTGATCAGCTGATCGGCAGCCAGTAGGCAGAATGGGCTTCTGTGCCATGTGGTAAACTCTCCTGGAGGTGATCCAATTTGTGGGTGAGTAACTCGGATATCCGATATCCAATCTTCACCAAAGTTGGCAGGCGTGTTAGGGAAAGACATAGGAAGCTCCGTGGTGATTCTGGAGTATTTCAGGAACTGGGGGGAGCTTTCCTTGGGGGTCCTCTTTGTGACTATATAACTCGGGGGTCCATGATCGGTTAGGTTAGGCATCCTTCAATCTCGAAATACTATGGTAACGTGCTCTGTATGGAGGACTTGGAACAGCATCTAGTGTGGCTGAGGAGGCCAATTCGAGAGTGACAATCCCTTCCACACTGAAGACAAATCCAATCTGTCCCCTGTCCAGCTCCCTGGTTTTGCTGCTTTTGTGACTTCCTCTTTGCCTAAGCCTGCTGGGCAAGGGTCTCTTCAAATTGGGAGAGGCCGTGATGCAGTGCCTGCCTCCAGGCTGAACGCTCAGATGTCAAGGTTTCCCATCTGTTGAAGTCTATTCCTAAGGCCTTCAGATCTCGCTTGCAGATGTCCTTGTATCGCAGCTGTGGTCTCCCTCTGGGGCGATTTCCCTGCACTAATTCTCCATACAGGAGATCCTTTGGAATCCGACCATCAGCCATTCTCATGACGTGCCCAAGCCAATTGTGAGTCTAGAGAACATGGTGGCTGCTTTCCCAATGCGTTTATCCAGCTCGACATCTAGAGAGAGGGTGTCAGAGATGGTTGAGCCAAGGTACACAAAGTCATGAACAACCTCCAATTCTTGTGTGGAGATGGTAATAGAGGGAGGTGAGTCCACACCCTGGCCCATGACTTGTGTTTTCTTCAGGCTGATTGTTAGTCCAAAGTCTTGGCAGGCCTTGCTGAAACGGTTCATGAGTTGTTGGAGGTCTTCAGCAGAGTGGGCAACAATGGCTGCATCGTCTGCAAAGAGGAAGTCCCTCATGCATTTCAGCTGGACTTTGGTCTTTGCTCTCAATCTAGAGAGATTAAAGAGCTTTCCATCTGATCTAGTCCGGAGATAGACACCTTCTGTTGCAGTTCCAAAGGCATGCTTCAGCATGACAGCAAAAAAGATCCCAAAAAGTGTTGGTGCGAGGACACAGCCCTGTTTCACTCCGCTTCGGATGTCAAAGGGATCTGATGTTGAGCCGTCAAAAACTACAGTGCCTTTCATTCCATCGTGGAAGGACCTGATGATGTTAAGGAGACGAGGTGGACATCCAATCTTGGGAAGTATTTTGAAAAGGCCATCCCTGCTAACCAAGTCAAATGCTTTTGTAAGGTCTATGAAGGCCACTAAGAGTGGCTGTTGTTGTTCCCTGCATTTCTCCTGCAACTGTCGGAGGGAGAATACCATGTCAGTGGTGGATCTATTTGCTCGAAATCCACACTGTGATTCCGGATAGACTCTGTCTGCAAGCACCTGGAGCCTCTTCAGCACAACACGGGCAAGCAGCTTCCCTACAACGCTAAGAAGAGAGATACCACGGTAGTTATTGCAGTCACCCCTGTCACCTTTGTTCTTGTACAATGTGACAATGTTTGCATCCTTCATGTCCTGTGGTACTCCACCTTCCCTCCAGCAGAGGCAAAAGATTTCATACAGTTCGGTGATGATGATCTCCTTACCGCATTTCAGCACTTCAACAGGGATGTTGTCCCTTCCAGGTGCCTTGCCAGAGGTGAGGGAATCCAAGGCCGCATTTATTTCTGCTAGGGTTGGTTCGCTGTCCAGCTCTTCCAAGACAGGCAGGCACTCAATGTTATTTAATGCTTCTTCGGTTACTACATTCTTTCTGGAATATAGCTCGGAGTAGTGCTGCACCCAGCGTTCCATCTGCTGTGCTCGGTCCTGGATGATCACACCTGTAGTAGACTTTAAGGGAGCAGATTTCTTCTGTAATGGACCTAAGGCCTGCTTGATACCATCATACATTCCTTTGATGTTACCTGTGTCCGCTGCTATCTGTATCTGAGAGCAAAGCTGAAGCCAATAGTCATTGGAGCATCTCCTGGCAGCCTGTTGGACTTGGCTACGAGCGGCTCGCAGAGCTTGCAGGTTGTACTCGCTAGGACAGGCTTTGTATGCTGCTAGAGCTCTTCTCTTATCCTCAATGGCTGGCATTAACTCCTCCGAGTGGGCTTCGAACCAGTCAGCCATCTTTCTGGTCTTCTTGCCGAAGGTGGACAAGGCGGTGTTGTAGACAGTGTTCTTGAAGTGTTCCCATCGTTCAGGTGCATTTACATTAGCTGGACCTGGAAGGGTTTCCTCGAGTGCTTGGGCAAATTCCTTCACTTTTCTTTGATCGCGAGTCTTGTTGATGTCAATACGTGGTCTTCCTTCCTTTTTCATGTGATACAATTTCTTTGTTCGCAGTTTTACTCTACTACACACCAGGGAGTGATCAGTATCGCAATCAGCACTCTGGTAGCTGCGTGTGATCGTAACACTAGGAAGGCTAGAACGTCTAGTGAGGATCAAATCGAGCTGATGCCAATGTTTGGATCTTGGATGTCTCCAGGAAACTCTGTGTTGCAGCTTCGTATTAAAGAATGTGTTGCTGACACAGAGACCATAGTAACAGCAAAACTCCAGTAAGCGTTGGCCATTTTCGTTCATCTTTCCAATGCCAAAACGGCCTAGACAAGTGGGCCAAGAATTGTGATCAGCACCAACTCTAGCATTAAAGTCTCCAAGAATGAACAGTGACTCTCTTTCAGGGACTTTTTTGATAGTAGCTGCCAGATCGTCGTAGAATTTGTCTTTCACTTCTGGAGTGGATGACAGTGTTGGTGCATATGCACTAATGAGGGTTACTGGTCCTGCTGATGAGTGGAGCTGCAGAGACAGGATTCTTTCACTCCCCACAGTGGGTGGAACAATGCATCTCAGGAGAGTGTTTCTGACTGCAAAGCCAACACCATATTCCCTGGTCTCATTCGATGGTTTTCCCTGCCAGAAGAATGAGAAGTTTTTTTCTTTGACAGATCCCGAGTCTGGCAGTCTTGTCTGTTGCAGGACAACAATGTCCATCTGCAGTCTACTCAGTTCCATGTCAATGACAGCTGTCTTGTGCACATCGTCTATTTCTTGCAGGTCGTTAGGAAAGCCGTAGTCAGGAAAGCCAGGGGTCATTGTCCGTACATTCCAGGTGCCCAGCTTTAGGGCAGAAGTTTTCTTACGATTGTTGCATGGTGCACAGTTATCGATCTGCTTGCAATGACCGGTAACTGCTACTTCCCGTGTTGTTTCTACGCTGTATGTGAAGCTGGAGTGTCCTCTCCAGAGCACGAAGCCTGGGTAAAATAATATGGAGGATAGGCTGTTACCCAAGCAGCAAATCCCCCCTCTCCACGTTGCTGAAATAGTTCAGTGGAAAGGCAAGAGCCAGTACAACTGGTTCCAGTGACATCGCAGGAGTTGGCGGAATGACAGAAACTGCCTCCGGGACTCCGGCTCCGGATTTTGCCTCGAGGTTATCTCTGGAAGCCCTTTCCATAAGTGGATATAGATACAAAGCAGTGGAGGTTTAAAGTTGGAGTTTTCCTTCTCCTAGATGGGCTGCCTTCCAGGGCTGACGAGCCCCAACTACCCGGCCTCCTCTCATGATCAAATGTTCACCAAATGTTCAGGAGCTGTAGAAAACCGTCTGTGGAATCTTCCCTTTCTCTATGTGGGGGCCAGTGTTATAGCTGTTTAAAGTGCAGGTGAATCGATGGATCGATTCGTCGATGAATATTCATATATTTGTATTCGTTGATCCATTAACCTTGACGAATAATGGATCAAAACGTATCGCCATTTTTAAAATTTGTCCCCATCTCTACTTACAATTCATAGCAACAAGAATAAAGATTGTTGAGGAATAGCAGACCAACCTATAAACACAAGACATTTAACAGAACAAGGATTCGGTTTCTTGTAGCTAGGTACAACTGGAAGCCATTATAATGCTAAGTTACTATGTTTTTTCTGCTTTCAACCCCAAAAGCAACCATAAATGCAATGGAACTGACAGGGAAACTGCCACTTCCAAAGCCCTGCAGGGTCACATTGGCCACAGCAGGAGTTCTGAGGGAAGGGGCAGGAATTCTTGGGTGGTTTTACCAGCATTAAGACAAAAACAATAGCAAAACCTGTTTCCACATTCATTTGGTGGTGGCAGAGGTAATTAAGCAAAGTAACTGCAAGGTACCACAACTGACAGGTTTGATGTTGTAGCTGCTCAGCAGAATGAATAGGCTTTGGCTTCAGCAAATCCAAGGCCACTTCTGTCATACCCACAGAGCTTTTTCCATGGGCAAAGAAGGTAAAAAGACTGTTATCTAAATTTGGCTATCCAAATAACTGTGATGTAATCATATAATATTGTGCCAATTAATTGTCATTACAGCTATAGCTATAATCATGGAAATTAATGTGGAAATTATTGCAATGAATAACTAATGATTTGGGGGGTCATGGAAGGATTATAGGGTAATTATGTTGTAATAGCAAAAGGCCTACAGAATTAGTATTGGAGCACAAGAACTAATGTTTTGAAAGTTGAGAGCCACAATAGAATGCATTTGGGAGCTACATACTGGCAATAATTAATAATAAATAATAATGTGCCGTTAATGTCAATTCCAACTTATGGCAACCTTTTCCATGGTTTTCAAGGTAGTAGTAGTAGTAGTAGTAGTAGTAGTAGTAGTAGTAGTAGTAGTAGTAATCATCATCATCATCATCATCATCATAATTAATAATAATAGGAACAGCATACACACTGCACCTATATTTAACAGATACTCATGTTTTTTATTAAATCTTGTATGTGTTATACAATACCAGTCAATGCTTTTATAGTTTTGATTGACTGTCCCTGGTGTTTTTGAATAATAATAACAATAATAATTGAACTGTGGAACTGGAAGGGACCCTATGGATCAAGTCCAGCTCATGCCAAGGAGGCACAGTGGGAATTGAACTCCCAAATTCTGGGAGCTGCCTAAACCACTGAGCAATCCAGCAGTTCATATCTATAAAGACTTCTTTATTTTTATTTTATTTATTTAATTTATATCCCGCCTATCTAGTCGCGGTGGACTACTCTTTGCCCCCCCCCCCCCAATTATGCCATTGGTGTTAGGCAAGAGATTTGGGCCACCTTATTGTCAGGGTGCACAGTCATCTATTTCTGATCTTATCCAGACTCTAGAACTTCCTCCCACAGGAGGCCAAACTGGCCCCACCCTTGCTGTCCTTCTGCAAGCAGGCAAAGACCTTTTTCTTCAGACAGGATTTCCCTTAGTGACTGGCTGTGTAAGAAGGTTTTAAAATAGATTGTTGTGCCTTGTTGCTTTTAAATGTGTTTTTAGTATTGATTTTATTTACCATTTTAATATATTCACTTTTTTAAAAAAAATATGAGTATACTTACTGTTTTTAGTTTTAAAATATTGTCTTTTTAATTATGTAAAGGCAGGGTAAAAATATTTTAAATGACTAAGAATAAATAAATACTACGGGCTCACTTCCTCTTGGTGAGAATACTTTGTGAGCATGCTGGTCACTTGAGGCTAGCCTTTCCTAGCAGTCAGCATGGGAACTGGGATCTTGATAAACAGCCATGCTGTGTCCTGGAGGAGGAAATCTTCCTTGGACAAACCAATCACTGTTTGCAGTGGCACCTTGCTTGGGGGTGACAGATGTGTAGAAAAGAAGACTGGTAAGAGGAGGACAGTCTCTGGTTGTATATTACTTAATGGCTGGAGATTTTCTACATGTATGAAAGTCACCAGTGTAACTAGGAACAGTCACAGAATATAAAGGTACAGACAATCACTAGAATACTAGTGCAAGTCACATAGAGCACAACTAGGGATGAGGATTATTTGTATTTGTATACGAATACCCCCACACAGGTGGAAATAACGAAGGGCCGGCCAACAGTCTGCTGACCGATGCGCTAATGCTGCGGGATCCATGCTCCCAGGGCCGGCCAACAGTTCACTCACCAATGCGCTAATGCTGCGGGATCCATGCTCCCGTCTATTGCTCCGGAGATCGAGATCGCCAAGCCACTCCTGGCAGGAGGTGGGACGACAAGCCTCTCTGCCAGGTTGAAGAGTGTCTCGGCGACTGTGATCTCTTGTGCGACAGGACGAGATCACGGACCCCACGCCAGTAGCTTATCAGTGAGTGGACCATCCGGTCCCATGGGGCCGGACCCTTGTTATCTCCACCTGTGCAGGAGTATTCGTACACAAATACAAATACCTCCATCTCTAATCACAACCTACTTGCTGCCATTCCCCATTTTTGTAGGCCCTGGAACATCCAGGATTCCTCACAACAAATGTTTGTGTGCATTTCAAAATAGGGATATTGTCCTTCCAGAAGCCTCTAGAGAACACGATTCTCCCCTACACGTTGTTTTAACCCAGTAAAGATTAAAACAAATTAGCACAACTAGGAATGATATTCTGGTCATTTTGGTTTCACAAAAACAGGAATTGGGGCAACTCATGATGGGTTTAGGAGTACAGAAAACAGCTCCCAGACTCTGTAAAGTTGATCATTTTTTCTCTAGAAAGCACTAACGAAATAATAATTAGCCAGTGCAATGGCTGAATGTCTGACCTTTGGAGGAAAGTCTAAACATTAGTTTTAATGGTAATGAACATACAGACAGAGCATATGGGTTTTACTTTACAGAAAATATAAAGTATGGAAGAAAAGAAAGAAAAAGAAACAGAAACAGAGGTGTTAATTATTCAGAAGATTTTCAAGCTAGAAAAGGTACATAAATTCCTCCAAAGAATCAAAAACAGGACAAAACTATTCCCAATAAAACTTCTAGCATCATTAAATACTATTTCTGCTTGATTACAGGTGGACAAATTAGTCTGTTTCTATTGCATTTCACTTTCAGTTATTCTATCTCTCTCTCTCTCTCTCTCTTATCTCTCTCTCTCTCTCTCTCTCTCTCTCTCTCTCACGCACACACACACACACACACACACACACACACACAAACACACACACACACACACACACAAACAAACAAACAAAATTTCTATTTAAATATACATTTCTAAACATACTGTCCAGAAACCTGCTGGAGATTTACACCAGTTTCAGTGTAACTGTGTAAACTGCAAGGGTGAATTACCACCAAGTAATGTGCTGCCAGTTACATACCTGGTCATGTACCATGGCACCACTGACACATATATATTTACATCAGTATAAATCTCAAATAAATTTCCATCTGTTTTCTCTCAAAATGTAAATTCTACTCTTATGTGCCCACATTACAGTATTTGGACCAACAATTGTACTAGAACATAAAGGAATTGCCAATGCAAGTGGATAGCTAAGTTCTGATCTTTGCATTAGTCTGCAGAAAGCAGACAAGGTAGTATATATTCAGACTCAGAAAGAGGAAATTCTAGAAGCTTTCCTATCTATGATACATAAATCTACATTTTCCACATGTTTTGATAAACAATATGTGACCCTGTTATCCCACAGATTAATAGACACATCCCTAGAGAGATGGATTACTACCTGGTTTCCATCTCCCCTAACATTGTGAAAAAGCATTAATTTTAAGTAGACATGTGGATGGATCCAGCTGTGTTTGCTTTTTCCAAAGCCAGTAAGTTCACATTTCTAGTTACAGGAATGCTGACTGGTTCAGTTTATATATTTATTTAAAATATTCATACCCTGCCTCTCTCAAGAGGATCCAGCTCACAATGTTTAGGATTGACTTCGAACATTGGGGCATGGCTACAATAATAAACAAAAATATTCTGGAAGGCTTTTAACCTCAGAGAACCCGGGAGTGAAAACTTGCTCTAATATTCAGGCAAATTCATTTGTTGTTTGTAAAGCTATTTTTAAAGCAGTAAATTCATTGCAAACAAGTGCTGCAGTTCCCATATGTCTCCTTTTCCTGAGACAGCAAAAGCTGTACAGCATCCTGTTCCAAGCCTATGTCCGATTTCTTGGACACCCTTCAAAATATCATTGCCAAGAAGCAATGAAGTGTTTAGCTACCTTCTGCACAGTAATTCTGTCTTCAGGGTATTTAAATTGATTTTCCTTATTTTGCAAGCAGAGTTTGCCTCCTGGCCCAGCAACCAAGGAAGGGCAAAGGGCATTAGCAGCAGAGGAAGAAAACCAGCCACATTAGAATCTGAGGCTCATTAGCCTGATCAATGTTATGATGAAGTGGTGTCCTCCTGGTATCCTATCCAGCCAATGGCCTCTCATTCCTCACAAATGTAGATCAAGAATAAAATGGATCATTTGTACAAAACGGCAGCTTCATTTTCATACTCCTCGCACATTTTTGTATATTTCAAGGCTTGCATAAAAATAGTAGAAGGAAGGAAGGAAGGAAGGAAGGAAGGAAGGAAGGAAGGAAGGAAGGAAGGAAAACAGAATATACTCTTCAGGGATACATACAGCAAATCTCTGAATGTTCATCAGAGCCATCCAGACAATCATCATCACCATCACAACGCCAACGGTCTTGGATACAGCGCTTGTTTGTACACTGAAATTCTTCCAGTTTGCATAACTTGGGTAACAGTTCCCCGGAAATAACTAAGGGGTCAAACATATAAAGAAAATATAGCATCAGTTGTCAGAACACAAACATTATTCTTTGAAGCTTTCTGTAACTTTCACATCTAGGTATTAAATAGTGGACTGGAAATAGTGTTTCCCAATACATCCTCCACACCCTGGTTTAGGACCAACTGTGTTGTACAAATTTGGTGGACTATAATAAGGCAGCATATTCTAAATTAATACATAGTAATATGCAATAATAAGTTGAGTTGCCATTTTTTGTTTAGTTTTTATTGGTTCTTGTAAAATGTGCTGTTTACTCATGTAATCACTAGTTACATTTTAATCTTTCAATAAGTGTTTTCAACATGACTCATATTTTTAAAGAGCAATAAAAAATCAACCTAAACATAACATATGACAGTCAAAACACAATAGCAAGAAAAAAATGGCCAGAATTCTATATTTTACCTAAAATATACAGAAATATTTATACAATGTTTATGTAACTGGCTATGGCTAATTGCAGCTAATTGACAAGGCACTGGAGCATATCTTTATCATATGCCTCGCTGAGCACCTAACCACACAGCTATGATATATCCCAGCATCTCAGCTGTAATTTTATGCAAAAAATCTACAGGGTTCTGTTCAGGATCAGATCAGAAAACTAGAGTAGACAGAACTACTCAGGAAAATGTAAATAAATGCCATGGGAAATAAAAAGGTGCGTGCTTGTGTAGATTGGCCCTGTGCCTTGCGTCAGCAGTATTTATCAGAGTGAATTCAGCATGCTGTGACAAGATCTTCTTGTTGTTGTCACAGTGGACACAGGTGGTTGTTAGCCAGCCACCCCTGCCTCCTCATTTCTCTACACAGAGCCCCTCCAGTTTCTCTCATAGGAGTTCAGGCACAAAGGAGGGTTTGTGGTGTCCCAGCTGTCTCAAGGCCTCACCCTCAAGGGGACAGCGAGGGAAGCACTCCCTCTCCAGGTAACCTCAGGGCATTTCTCCCCCACCCCCACCCTGGAGCCACCTCCTAGTCACTTCCAGTGGCCTCTTCCCTGTCTTCGTGGCATAAGGCTTGTTGGCCTCTGCTCCAACATTTCTGCCTGCATCGTCTTCCTCTCATTCTCTTCTCTCTTCCTGCCTTCTCTCTTCTTCCCTTGTTACTTTTAGATGCAATGCCTCTTCCTAATCTCTTTCCTTCTACCTATTCCCCCCTCCCCATCTGCCATTAGGACCATGCCCAACTCCATCCTCCCCAGCATTCCCCAGCCTCTGACTGATTCCTAGGCAGGTCTATGCAGCTCTGTGGCCCTCTTCTGCCTTGTCCAGACTCCTTCCATGCTGTGCCAAGTGGTGGGGATTTTTCGGTCATTAACATACTCTCCTTTTACCTGCCAGCCACTGCTTGTCCTCCTTCCACATGGCCAATGCAATGTCAGCTTATCTTCTATAGACATGGTGCCTCAACTGAAAAATCCCCCATTCCCATTTTCTTTTCAGTTGCAGATTCCCTATCTATCCATATTTTCTTTTCTGAAAAAGCCTCACAGAAAGAGCTGAAAGGTGGGAAGCCATGCAACCTGGACTTACAGTTTAACTACAGAAATTCATGGAGATTGCTGTATGACTACAAAGAATACCATGCAGCGGACAATGGGCTTCTTTGTGCAGCAGCAGCAGTTATTCCCTGCTTCTTCTTTGCTTTTATCTTTTCCTCCATATTTTTATATTGTGCATTTCTTTTAACTAACCTTATTGAACAGTAAAAGACAGGAAGTGAACTCACACTTCCTGGTCACTTCATAAGCAAATACAAGGATCTTTGAAGTTTATTGATGATGCTATCCCTGAAATTTCTTCTACTCTAAAACTCTTTTTGAAGGCAAATCCTCATCTATCAAATTGAATGAGATTGGCTGAAATTCTCATGGGAGAAAATTTCTGCACAACGATGGTAATTATGCTATGCTTAGTCCTTTCAGGTACATACAAATACTGTAGATTGTTAGGATTGTTCCTTAAGGGGTCGATTAACAAAGAAATCCACTGCTACTCCTATAAAGCTATAGGTTTTTAAGCAGGTGATGTTTGAGTTCAGTTGCTGTGGAAGAGCACGCATGCAGTTCCATGACCCCATGTAGTTTTTTATCCTGTGGGTTTTGCCACAGAAGAGCAAGAATTATTTTTATTTCAATTCAATAAGCATGGGATGAGTTCCCCATATGTAACAGAACAAAGATAGTTTTGAAGAACTAAAGAATCTGAGAAAGATGTTGTGGGAGCATTTAGAATTTCAGTTCACATTTAAAACTGTCTCATAAAAGAGGAGGATTTCCCTTTGACATTTCTCAGAAAGGTTTCTTCCAGCCCATATAATCCCAAGCCTATCTTACTGTCCTTGCTTTTTATGTACTTGTCATAGAATAGAGAGAGCATTAGACTTTCTATCATTCTCACTTTATCTTTTCCTCAATATTATACAAACTGAGACACTCGCTATGAAGATCATACTCATGCAGGTTGTACTGTTCTCCTCCAACTGCTGGTTATCAGCACAAGCACATACTCTGCCTCCGGGTACAGCTAAGCAGAGAGTGCTGCAGCCTCCATTATTAACACGACAGGCATTGTCACCTGCAATTAAGAAAGAAAAACAAAGGGGACTTAAGAACAAAGAGCTCGAGGAGCCTGCTGCAAGAGGGGAATATTGTGAACATGAAGAAAATTGCCTTTATCTAGCAAACACACGACTCAGATCAATGCTGCTTTCTAGAGGTATAGCAGCTCTAACATGATTTAATTTGGCCACAGCCTTATCTGGTATTTTGGAAGAACATGTTGAAACTCTATAGACACAATGACTAAGATTTATTTATTTAATATTTATCCTGCTGTCCTTTCTTTACTCTGGTCAAGTGTTTCAAATGTGTTTACATAATTCATAATTCAGTTGACTGAATTATGTAAAAAACTAGCAAAATGTTTCCCTTGTTAAAGGGTGAGAATGGAAGAGGGAGAAGATGTGTGAAGCATAAAGACAGACAGATAGAGGTGACTAGTCTTTTCATCCTCAGTGTTTTCTCCCATTTGACTTAATTTTATTTGAAATTTTCCTATTTTAATTAATTTCATTTTGGATGCATAAGACAATCCAGTCTTATAGACTAAATAATTTGGTGTATTACTGAGGCTTGGTTATAACTGCTCATTCATCAGTACACTAAAGTTTAGTGTGACTAAAATAGGACAGGTTATGGAGAGAGTCATTTGGAAAATTTAGAACTAGATTTGGTAAGTTTAGAACTATTGATTCAGTGACTTATAGGTAGATAGACAGACAGACATATCAATAATTGTAAGATTCACAGAGTAACTGTATCTATGCAGTTGGACATAGACAGCTGAAAACTGTAACACAACAACTTAAACAGAAATGTTAAAGCACTAGCAATGAATATGTAAGACCAGATTACCATATTGGCTAGCGTTTTTTCTATTTACCGCAGTACCTTGTTCCAAATCCCTTTCCCTATTATCTTCCCTGACCCAATGGACAATGATTTTTTTTAAAAAAAATACATATTGGCTAGCATCATCACTGCATTTCGCTTTAAGCAATAGAGTAGAACGCTGAGGTTCCTTCCTGTTGCAAAATATTTCTGCACTGGCAGAAAGTGGATGTAACAAGGAAGAAGTATTTGGAAGACATTTTTACACATGTAGGCAAAATTGTATCTAAATTATGCTGCACCTACCCCTATGCCATCCACTATAACTTTCTCCAGGCTTTCAGTGCTATGTTTGGCAGGGGGTGCCACTCACATTTAGGCTCTCCATAAAATTAGGAATTCTGATTTTCTAGGGTTCTTGCTTGCAAGGAGAGAGTGCATTTGAGCAACAACCTATCTCCTTCGGACTCCATCAACATCACATAAAAAAACTGATGATGGAAAGGACAGGGCTAGGCAGTTCCCTCTAACTATGCTTGCAAAACAAGGTATTCTAACACTTGAATAGAGCTCTTATTGAACAAGGCTCCTAGACAGGGATACTGAAAACTCCACAATACATTTTAGGCAATACCAATTCTGTCTTCGTGTGTGTGTGTGTGTGTGTGTGTGTGTGTGTAGATAATGAGAACTGAACAGTACGTCAATCAAAAACTGTTTAGTTTTTATTATTTTTTATTATCTTTATATGTACAAATAAATACACACACACATATGCATGCACATGAAAATAGAACTAGTATTGCCTAAAATGTATACTCTTTGCAAGAGTAACTGTAACATTGCAAGGACATGGCCAACATGAATTATGCTTCGATGACTGAAATTCTACTGTTGAGTATAGTAAGTTGCACTAGAACAGGCCCATTGAATCTATGGGGTTTAGTGAGTCAGCTTTTTCGGAAGCTCCACTACTTCAGTGGGCATACTCTAGCAGTAACTTCCTACATTACGCAACATAGTTTCAGCCACAGACTGGAAACTCTTCATTGCAGATGGGTATATTTGCACAGCATCCAATAGTAATTTTGAGAAGATCAGAAGAAAGACACTAATCCTTGTTTATAATCCACGGTTAATTGAATAGCTCATGTCTTCTATTTATAACTAATTTTATATAGCATAATCACACAAGTTAATTGCAACTAACTTCCCATGGAATTGATAACTTAAATCCAATTTATTTCAGTGGGACTTAGTTGTACCTAACATTTTTCAAATATATCCCACATCTTCCTTAGTTTAGCACTCTAACATGGGCATACATCTTTTTTGGATCAGAGTGGTACTCAAAAAGCAGGCTTCTGGCAGAGACAGAGGCAATGAGAAATAGTTACCCTTTCTGTAACTAATGTTAACACACAGCTTGGTGTGAATGCAGAAAATATTGTTTTCTATACCTTGCTGCTTCTGGGGATCATAAATCTGCAGTCCAAACAAAGGTGATCTCTCACTTCTTAGAAGTGTAACATTTCTAGTCACCAAATCCAGCTGGAAAATAGAACCATTCATATAATCTGTCCAAAAGATATAATTCCTATGGTGTGACAGTCCAAATGGATGGTTAAGTTCTTTTCCACTGTAGACCACCTGCAATGAATTTGATGTTAGTTGAACAGTTTCTAAAATCCAGTGCATCATTAAAAGCATCAGAATTCAGCCATGAAAATAATGAGAGTTAAGAGGATTGAACTCCTTTCTCCACACATGAAGAAGCCTGGCAATAAACAACATTCAGAGGACAGATGTACTATTATGCCAATTATTTTGGCCAATTTAATGCACTCTCCTCTTCCATAGGGACGTGAGCTGCTATTGCGAATGTCTGCGTGAATTTGGGCTCCCAATGAATCTGTCTATCTGGGCATTCAGACAGCAGTCCTTGTGAGGAACCCTTTCTTGCTTCTGGAGGAATTAGATGCAAGAAAACCTGCTTAAATCTGTAGTAAAAGTTTCAATTTTCTCCTCATGATTTTTTACCCATCTTAAATGCTGGAATAACAGTGGCTGAGCATAGTTGCTTAGCATAGCAAATAAACAAGGCTCGTTGTCGGATCTGGTGAGTCAACTCTTCCATAAACTCCAATGATTCAGTGAGCCCACTGTAGTTGACTTGCAATACTAAGCAGCAGGATGTCAATCACTGAAGGGAGGGATGGAGGGATGGGCGGACAGACAGACAGAAAGATAGACAGATAAATGAAGGTACACACTCACACAACAGAAGACAGTTTTTCTCCAGTTGTTGATGGTGTTTCCAAGCTAATCTATTTCTAATATGTCCAGGAATAATAATAAAAAACAAAAAACTGGTGACTTTTCACTACATTGACTGCAATGTTTACTGCTAGGTGGTCTGGCAGATCCTCCATGTTTCTCTGTTTTCTGCAAACTCAAAAACTTTCACCAGTGATTAATATTTTTAGTGTGGATCAACTGCTCTTGCAGAAGGGCACTGATCTCATTTCCAAAATATGGAGAAGACCACCCAGTCTTCTCACTACAATGTTTTGAAACCAATTCCTATTAAATCTTCAATCCTGAACACACTGTACATGGACTAAACCTCTCTGGTCACTGTTGGCTGGATCCATATTTTGTTATACTTACTGCAAGCCAAACAAGACCAGTGGTATTCAAGTCACTACGTAACTAGCTTAAGTTCCATTAATTTCTATGGATCAATTTGAAGTTTAACTAAATTTAGATCAAAGTGACTATGATTTACTTTCTGCTGAACAGGCGTTGGATTGAACAATTAGGGTTTCAATGCTTCCCCTCCACTGGATCAGATCCATATATTGACATTACCTTGAGATTAGTCTCTAATAAATTATGGCCAAAATCTTCTTGCACAAACTTACATAGTATATGGCATATAGCATTATCGATTGAGCATGAAGGATTGCAGTGGGGATTTGAATTAGCAGCAAGAAAGGAAAGAACAACAGCATATTTTCTTTACCGTTCTATCTGTTCCATTCAAAAATATTAGATTCTAGATTGAACTACTGCAGGTGATTTCAATTTCCCTATCTTACAGAAGTTTACCCAAAGGGATTTCAGCCCACATACAGATCTATCTACATACAGATCTGCACTCATTTCACATGCTAGCAAGATCCTACAAGGTAGGTTTCACCAGTATGTGGACCAGGAACTCCCAGAAGTACAAGCTGGATTTCGAAGGGGCAGAAGAACTAGAGACTGAATTGCTAACATGCGCTGGATTATGGAGAAAGCTAGAGAGTTCCAGAAAAACATCTACTTCTGCTTCATTGACTACATAAAAGTCTTTGACTGTGTGGACCACAACAAACTATGGCAAGTTCTTTAAGGAATGAGAGTGCCTGACCACCTTATCTATCTCCTGACAAATCTATATGTGCGACAGGAAGCAACAGTTAGAACTCGATGTGGAACAACTGATTGGTTCAACATTGGGAAAGGAGTACAACAAGGCTGTATATTGTCCCCCTGCTTATTTAACTTATATGCAGAATACATCATGTGAATGGCTGGACTGGATGAATCCCAAGCCGGAATTAAGATTGCCGGAAGAAATATCAACAACCTCAGATATGCAGATGATATGGCAGAAAGTGAGAAGGAATTAAAGAAGCTCTTAATGAGGGTGAAAGAGGAGCGTGCCAAAAATGGTCTGAAGCTCAACATCAAAAAAACTAAAATCATGGTCACTAGCCCCATCACCTCCTGGCAAATAGAAGGAGATGATATGGAGGAAGTGACAGATTTTACTTTCTTGGGCTCCAAGATCACTGCAGATGGTGACAGCAGCCATGAAATTAAAAGATTCCTGCTTCTTGGGAGGAAAGTGATGACAAACCTAGACAGCATCTTAAAAAGCAGAGACATCACATTGCCGACAAAGGTCCACATAGTCAAAGCTATGTCTTTTCCAGTAGCGATGTATGGAAGTGAGAAGTGGACCATAAAGAAGGCTAACTGCCAAAGAATTGATGCTTTTGAATTGTGGTGCTGGAGGAGACTCTTGAGAGTCCCCTGGACTGCAAGGAGAACAATCCTATCCATTCTGAAGGAAATCAACCCTGAGTACTCTTTGGAAGGACAGATTCTGGAGCTGAAGCTCCAATACTTTGGCCATCTCATGTTGTGGGGGGAGAGTGAAGGCAAGAGGAGAAGGGAACGACAGAGGATGAGATGGTTGGACATCGTTGGTCATCGAAGTGACCAACATGAATTTGACCAAAGTCCAGGAGGCAGTGGAAGACAGGAGGGCCTGGCGTATTCTGATCCATGGGATCACGAAGAGTTGGACAGAACTTAACAACTAAACAACAATAACAGATCTATCGCTTTAATTCTAGTTAAACTCTCCTGTAGGACTGGCCTCCTCTTTCCTATTTAAACATGGGAAGAGACTGTTTCATCATGCCCTGGTTAAATGTCTTAAGCAGTTTAAAGGATACACTTGGAACTGTTTAAGGTGGCCACACTTGTGGTAAACTTAGGATAGCCTGTTCTGCCAAGCAGTCAGAGAACTGATGACACATACTTTACTTTAGGAAAGGGAGAAAAATGTTCCATGGATTAAAACCTTCCATGCCATTTTCACAACACACATTGCCAAATTACATCATAAAGATTTTATACATACAATCATTACTTACAATCTATATGGGCAATAACAACAGCTATGTGGATCCATTGTGCTGCCAGAAGCAATGTCAATGTATGTTCATTTTAGAGAAGTGGCAAGTGGCTATAAAAATGCTTACAAATCAACATTTAATGTGACTATTCTCAAACAAGTTGAGGTAACTGGTGATAGTAATCATGTTAATTTTAATAAGAACATTTTAAGCTTAGTACCATGCACATAAAGCAACAGAGTATTAACACACAATAGGGTTAAATAGCTTAGTCTGAAAAGCTAGGTGTATTTTTCTGAGAGTATGAATCACTGGACTCAGTGAGGCTTGCTTCTGAGTCCACATGTGGGATACATTATAAGTTAACTAATAAAAAAGCAGCCTTAAAGGAAGAGGGAAAAAGTAGCAATATGATTCAATGATACAAAATCTTCTGGGTAGCACAACAGCATAATTTCTTTACCTTTCTATCTGTGCCATTCAAAAATATTCTTTCAATGTGATCATAATAGGCATCACACCAGTACAGTATATTGCTTCGATAGTCCAGCGTTAATCCATTTGGCCACAACATCTTGGATGTCACAAAAATTTGCCGGTTGTAACCATCCATCCATGCCTTTTCAATTCTTCCCACACTATCATCTATTTCATCTTCTTCCCAGTCTGTCCAATACATCCAGCTATGAAATGGCAAACAGGAACATTAATTCATTCTTTGAATCACATAATTTAGATTGTAGAATGACTATTACTGAAAGGAAAAAGAAAACACACCCTGACACTTGTTTGTGTTTCTAGTTTTAGGCTTCTAAGTGTTTTGTTTTTGTCCTTGTCCTTTCATTCTTTTTACTGAGAAAAATATGTAACCAAGGAAACGAGTTACTTCAACTGTGTGACTGAAGTGCTGCTCAAAACAGAGACGATAATCAGTTATGCCATTAAAAAGTTAAATGATTGATAAAAGAACTCAGATTTCTGTTAATGGACTGTTCCAAACTCATCACAGTGTGGCTCATAACATTTTTAAACATTTTTATTTCATTTTTTTTAGAAGATGCCAAACTCGTCTTTCTAATGAAAGCCGCTTGGATAACTCTTCCATTGTGTCTAACAAAGTTGCTTTGACACTTTGAATATTGCTCAGATCCCCCCATGAAAAACTATTTGCTTCATTAAAAGGCCATGAATAATTTTATTCTTTCAATATTACTGTTTTGCAATCACAAAATGGTCAAACACTGAACATGATACATTTTACCTCCCTTAAAAATGTAATACTTTGACTATATTCAGTAATGATCCTCAAACCAACCATACCTTCCTTAGTCAATAACTTCTGTAGTGAATTAATGTGCCATATCACTACAGCCAGTATTAGTAGAAATGTCTCTATTCTGTACCTGGTATAATATACATCACCTTCATCAAAATGTACCGTATATTTCTGTCTTCGTTAGACTTTAAACAACTAGGCACAAGTGATACTGCTGATTCAGGGCATATCCACATGTGGAAATGGCACAAATTTTCTTCCCTAGTTAAAAATGGCATAACTTTCTGAAGTGAATTGCCTTAAATTAAGAAATCACTTTACATATTATCAGTTGCATACTGAGTTATGTGATTCAGTGTACAACTGACAACGTCTATGGTGACTTCTCAACTGGGGGAAATTTGCCTCCAATAGAGACAAATTTTGTAATCTTACGCAGACAATCGCAAAAGGCAGCAGTTTATACTGCGAATTCTGCCCACTGACATGCAGGTCTGGTGCCTGTTAGAAAGAATCCATCTCCCTCAGAACAATGCAACCACATGAGCGCTTCAAAGACTGTGGCTAATTTCCTGGTAGGTACTCCCATGTCCTACATTCCTGTCACTTTTAAATTCCTCAGACTGGATGTCCTTCCATAGAGTGTCTGGCACTTGGCTTCAAAGAACAAAGTGAAAAGTTAAATTGAAAGGTCATGAAATGGTAAAGGGAATCGTTATCTCTCACTTACAGAGGCAACACTTAAAAGGTGTCCATGCCAATCCTGTGCCTTTGTTCTTCACATTGCTGACCATGGAACTGGCATGCTCACCGAGAGGAAATTGAGATCTCCTAGGGACATTAACTGCAATGCTGCAACAGTTCATATTAGAATCCTTTTAACAAATAACTCAGAACTTTATATTTATTATGTGGAAATGAAGACCTTTAGGACAACATTAAGATGTGGTAAGTTTCTTTTTCATTTTGTATATAGCTAAACAAAGCTCAGCTCTTTAGACTTCTGAATTAATTCATACATTATCAAACAGCAGACTGATAGAGTTATTGTAGAATTAAGACAATGCTGCATTACGACATATCAGCCAGATCCTATTATTGATACCTTCTGACACCAAATCCATCAACATAAATCACAGCTTTATTTGCCACAATTTGCTGTCATGCACTAGCTTCACGACTTCTTAACTCAGAACCATTTGCAGCTAAAATTTACGTTAATAATTTGTGTCAATTTTTCAGATAAATACTTCCTTCTGTGATTTTATCCTATAAGTCTAATACCAGTAATGTTAAACAGCAGAACAACAGTGAAAGAAGAAGTACGATAGCTTCTGTTTCACTGCACGATATTGACTGGGAGTAATGCCAGAAGAATTACCCTTGTTTCCAATATGTGGTGCTCTGCTCAGCATCTTACAAGCCAAATGATGTGGCTACAGGCAACTTGATCCTCAGAATGTGCCTATAGTGAAATCCTTATGTCAGCTGCCTAGAATTGAACTCTTTACTCTTCTCAACAGTACAATGAATCAATAACACTTCCAAACATTTATTTGACTTGTTAAAACGCCATTACTTTAAGTAGTCTTCTTTGTTTTGCAGTTAACACAGGACATGACCCAACTAGGCTAGATGTTAAGTGGCACTGATGTTCTTGTCTAGCATTAATTAAAATAGAGGCAAAGCTACAACAGTGTTTGTCTGTAAGTTAAGAGAATCATATGGCACCAATTAACTTAATAATAGTAATATTATATACTGTATTACTATATGAGTGTTTGTCTAAATGTAATGAGGAGTGTGCAAACTATTAGGCACAGGAACTTTCAAACAAAGTACTGTAGTTCTTATTTTATTATTTTCATTATATGTCTTACAACAACCCTTTTCGGGCATTTCTTCCTGGCCTATAGATGCAATCTGATTGACTGCAACCTATGTATTGGAACATTTTTCAAATACACTTAGCACTATTAATTGGTAAGCAATACAATTTTTATTGAGAAGAGAAAGAGATTGGACACTGGTATAGCTTGCACTCTTTGGGCTAAACTGCAGAAGCCTGTGCTGCAGGGTCAGAAGACCAGCAGTCGTAAGATCGAATCCACGCAACAGAGTGAGCTCCCGTCACTTGTTAATACGATTTTTTGTTGAGAAGAGGAATAGGTTGGACACTGGTATAGCTTGCACTACTACTATTTGGCATAAATCAATAGCTCTTTCTATTGGACTGGTGTGTGTCCAAGTGTAATGTAACAATGCAAACCATGGATAATTCAATATGAGTTATTCCAAATATTCGAAAGCATGTAAATGCGAGTAGATAAATAAGTACCACCTTGGTGGGAAGGTAATACGGCGCTCCCTAGTCACACTGGCTACGTCAGTGGTTCTTAACCTTTGTTACTCGGATGTTTTTGAACTGCAACTCCCAGAAACCCCAGCCAGCACAGTTGGTGGTGAAGGCTTCTGGGAGTTGTAGTCCAAAACTCCTGAGTAACCCAAGGTTAAGAACCAGTGGGCTACGTGACAATGGAAAAAAAACTGTCTTCGGACAGGCGCTGGCTCTATGGCTTGAAAAGCGGGATGAGCACCGCCCACTAAAGTCAGACACGACTGGACTGAAAACGTCAAGGGGAACCTTTACCTTACTACTATTTGACATAAATCAATAGCTCTTTCTATTGGACTGGTGTGTGTCCAAGTGTTAACAATGCAAACACTGGATAATTCAATATGAGTTATTCCAAATATATGTTTTATTCAGCGTTTTCTGTGCAATTCTCAAAGATGCACTGGCTGTAACAGGTTTGGAATGGACTGCCCTTGTGCCAGCAGAATCCCCTTGTAAAGGTGAGGCAGAAGTGCAGCTGCATCAGATCCTAATCTGCTCCAGTCCAACAACACAGCCACTATGCTGGCACAAGGTTAGGTCAAGGCGAGGGTAGTCCTTAGGATGAGATGGGTTTGAATGTAATGCAGTTTCCACTGCCCTGTCACCTTAGCTGGTCATATACAATATTGGTTTATTAGGATTATGCCCTTTGTCTTTATATATCAATATATGTAGCATACTTGTGGTTTGCTTGAAAATAATGGTTAATGATAACAACTGATGAAATAACCAATATTACAAAATTTGAAATTTCCTTATAAATGTTACGTAAAGAAGTAAAATTTTTGGAGCTCACTAAATAACAAATTTTGAGGCAAAGGTTCTAAGCTCTGAATTTAGTTAGCATAATATTTATGGTTTTACAACTGCTTTGGCTCTCTACATTATAATCACATCACTTTATGAAAACAAAAACAGACTGGGCCAATCATCAAATACTGTATAAGCCAAAAGAAACTGGATACATTTGCTAGGACCCAATCAGAATGTAAGACTAAATTAGAAGATGGGGGGAAAGGGTTTTTTTTAATCACTTTAAAAATACCCAACATATTTCAATCAATTTATTTTGTGAGCTATTAAAAAGAAGAAAAGGGGGACAGTACAATCGTTATAGTGGTGATAAATTCACTCGAGCAATGGGTGACATGATGAGACACAGGCCTAATATTTATAGATCAATCTCTTGCTGTAACCAGTTTTGTTTAAAGAGAATAGATATATTCAAGGTCATAAGTCCTTGTTCAGGCATTACATGGCCACATCCCTACTTCCAATATCCAGCCTACTTCCCTTCTTAACAAAGCCTTACCATTATCTATATGGATTGTACCTAAGGATATGCAACATAGATCTTGAAAAGAATGATGGCATTCCAAAATGTGACTGGCCAGAGGGCTTCCAAATATTTTATAAATTCTGTTACAGAAATGCTCACTGATGGATACTGTAAGTGGAGTTGGAAACAGATTGAAAGAGATTTCTACACACATTGCTAAATCAACAATATGTAGCAAAGGATTATTATATATCACAATGTATTCTGCAAAATAATGGACGTGGTGGTGCTGCGGGTTAAACCGCAGAAGCCTCTGTGCTGCAAGGTCAGAAGACCAGCAGTTGTAAGATCGAATCCATGCAATGGAATGACCTCCTGTCACTTGTCCCAGGTCCTGCCAACCTAGCAGTTCGAAAGCACATAAAAATGTGAGCAAATAAATAGGTACCACCATGGTGGGAATGTAACGCCATTCTGTGTCTAGTTGCGCTGGCCACATGACCACGGAAGATTGTCTACAGACAAATACTGGCACTACGGCTTGGAAACAGGGATGAGCACTGCGCCCTAGAGTCGGACATGACTGGACTAAATGTCAAGGGGAACCTATTCAGCAAAATGTTTCAGAGAATGCACTACCTGTGCAAAAAAGGCTCAACACAATCCTCATGATGTTATATGGCCAGAATCCTAATGTATTCTGCCAGTGTAAGTGTAATTGTGGAAAGTG